AGATTTGAAGAATCAATCTTTTGAAAAAATAAGGATAGAGAATACATCATTAATTGGAGGAAATTTCGCTAAGTGCAATATGAATGAATCAGAATTCAACAACGTTGATATAAGTGGAGTCAATTTTAATGGTGCACTTCTCTTCAATTGTAAATGGAAGAACATCAGAATCCACGAACTAAATTAATTGGTTGGTCATGGTGGTAGTATTAATGTAATCTGCTTTTCACCTGATGGAACTACTTTAGCATCTGGAAGTGGAGATAACTCGATTCGTTTATGGGATGTTAAGAGCGGATAATAAAATGGCAAATTGGATGGTCATAGTAATGGTGTTTACTCAGTATGCTTCTCACCAGATGGAAATAATTTAGTATCTGGTAGTGGAGATAAATCTATCCGTATATGGGATGTCAAAACAGGAAAATAAAAAGCTAAATTTGATGGTCATAATAACTTTGTATATTCAGTATGCTTCTCACCAGATGGAACTACTTTAGCATCTGGAAGTGGAGATAACTCGATTCGTTTATGGAATGTTAAAACAGGATAATAAATGGTCAAATTGGATGGTCATGATAGATGTGTCAATTCAGTATGCTACTCACCAGATGGAACTAACTTAGCATCTGGTAGTGAAGACAAGTCTATACGTATTTGGGATGTTAAGACAGGATAATAAAAGGCTAAATTTGATGGTCATAATAACTTTGTATATTCAGTATGCTTCTCACCAGATGGAACTACTTTAGCATCTGGAAGTGGAGATAACTCAATTCGTTTATGGGATCTTAAGACAGGATAATAAAAAGCCAAATTATATGGTTTAAGTAGTTGTATCAACTCAGTATGCTTCCTAAGAGATGGAACTACTTTAGCATCTGGTAGCCAAGATAACTCAATACGTTTATGGAATGTTAAGACTGGATAATTAAATACCAAATTAGATGGTCACTCTAGTTATGTCAAATCCGTATGCTTTTCACCAGATGGAAATACTTTAGCATCTGGTAGTAATGATAAGTCTATCCGTTTATGGGATATTAAGACTGGATAATAATAAGCCAAATTAGATGGTCATAGTGATAATGTTCGATCTGTATGTGTCTCACCAGATGGTACTACACTAGCATCTGGTAGTCATGATAACTCAATCCGTTTATGGGATATTAAGACTGGAGAATAGAAAGCTAAATTGAATGGTCATAGTCATTTTGTCCTATCAGTATGCTTCTCACCAGATGGAACTTAATTAGCATCTGGTAGTGTAGATAACTCCCTTCGTTTATGGGATGTTAAGACAGGATAATAAAAAGCAAAATTGGACGGTCATTATAATGAGGTCAACTCAGTATCGTTTTCACCAGATGGAAATACTTTAGCATCTTGTAGTGTAGATAACTCCATTCGTTTATGGGATGTTAAGACAGGATAATAAAAAGCCTAATTGGATGGTCATGATAGATGTGTCAATTCAGTATGCTTCTCGCCAGATGGAACCACATTAGCTTCTTGTAGTCATGATAACTCGATCCGTTTATGGAATGTTAGAAATGGGTAATAAAAAGCCAAATTGGATGGTCATAGTAAATTTGTCTTATCAGTGTGCTTCTCACCTGATGGGACCAATTTA